GCAGCAGTAGTTTTATATGCTAAATTACTGATCAAAACCCTCTGGTTATTGAAACTGGACTGGGATGAAAATTGCCAGAGCACATCTGCACGCAATGGTTACAGTTCAACACTGAGCATCCGCTTTTACAAGAAACATTTTTAACGATTGAGGAAGATGAACATTTTTTTACATTAACTTGCTACTCGCTTCTCCTCTTGTAGTTGTAGTGTTTATATTTCGTTTGAAGAAAATACCGATGGAAATACAAGTCGCTGAGGAAGCCGTTCTAACTTCTGTTCAATCAGTTCATTTCCGCGATGATATACATACGTAACATTCAATGTTATAAAAATCCATCTAAACATATGCAAACATTTTGTCTTTTTTAATGACTAGTCGGTGGTCGTTTAAATAAATCCGAATTAGATTTCTATGCCAAACATCCGATCTTGCTTCCTAACAATGATCATGTTGTGAACTCATTAGTTGACGCTTACCATATACGGTCTTTACACGCTGGGTCGAATTTAATGTTATCTCTTTTGCGTCAAAAGTATTAGATTCTTTCTGGTAGAAATCTTGTCCGTAAAAGATTCCAAATGTGTAATCGTTGTTTTAAGGTCAATCCTACGATAAATTCTCCACTGAAGCGAACGCGTTACTGAAGCGAAACCCTTTCTTCATACCGGTGTGGATTATGCAGTAAATTGTCCAATCATATTGGAAGCCATGGAAAACTGAATATTACACACGCTTCAAATGCGACAAAAATGGAATATCGCAACCAAACTTCTAACTAAAGGCACAATTGTTTTGATTAACATTGATAATGCTGTGTTTTGTTTGATTTCTTGGAGAAAGAAGTATGTTATGTTCGCATTCTCTCAGTTATTTTTTTATCTTTATTTCACTTCACGCTTTTTGTTTAAAAGCTAGAAGAACAAAGAGATCTTTGTCCTTCTAGGCGGGGGAATATTTGAGCCCATGAAACCATTGGGGTATTTTTGGTGAAAGATTGGGAGGCATTCTCCGACCTCCTTTCGTTCCTTTGGTTATGCCAAAACGAAGAAAATATAAACGTCATTGAGACGAAAAATTGATAAAAAAAAAAAAAAAGAAACCGCTGCTGTAAATGGAAAACCGTTTATCAGTAATTATTTATAATATTCATTCGTCGCAAACAAGGAGTTCTAGGAACTTCTAACCGCCCCCAGCTCGCATCTGCACGGAAGTTAAAGGTGAGTGTCACCAATATTTTTCCAAAATTACATTTGTTGGTTTTATGGGTAAATTCTTCAGAACGGAAGGAACAAAGTCCACTGCCTCCTTTTAACATCTGAGCCCCTTCACTCCAAAATTCAAATTCAAAATCAAAATAATCTTTATTTCATAGGTAAGCATTATTACACTTGAAATCGTCACAATGGTTAAACTTTACCGCTCATTCGTAAGGCAGGTGCCCCTGAGAAGAATGATCAAGAAACTCTAGAGGTTGCTCTTTGTAAATAACATTTGTGCACATTCAACATTTACAATATTTTTTTGTTTTGAAACATCATAGATCGAGATTACATCTGTGAGCTGAACGGGTTACTACCACGGATTTTTGTTATCCAAGTACGCAGAAGTTGTATAATAACCTTTAGTATAAAGTTTTTGTTTCACTACAGTTTTAAACCTCTTGAAAGGCAAATTTTGTATAATTTTGTATACCGGAATCTTGTTATATAAGCGTTTGCCTTAACTCTTAGCGGCACAGATTTTTATTACCAAATTAAAAATATTTTTTTGTGTCCTCCTGCTTAATCGGGATTAATTATATGCATTCTTGCACTTTTTTTATAATTCGCATGCTGGGATGTTACGTAGGAGGTGGTCACTATTAGTAACCACCGTGAAGAATGGGTCATAAATTAATTTAAAAAAAGTTTAGTTTTGATCTCCACTGAATTTATGCCAAAAGACATGAGTTCGGAGCTTTGGAGGAGTAAACGTGTTTTGAATAATAAATAAATAAAATTTTCATAAAAATTTAATTTTTCTGATCCTTGAAATATGATTTCCCCTCACGATAGCAATGAGGGACTGCATATTTTGCAGCTCAAATAGATCTAGCAGGTCTTTTTTATCTTCTGCAGCGCTTGGAGAAGAAGCAGTATCTATAACTTAGGCTCTTTTTGGTTTCCTTCACCAGATTCGGACAGTAATTTCCTCATTAGTAACAGCTTTGTAAGAACCTTCTTTCAGTTCCGCATAAAGATTGGTATGGAATGTTTTATGCTTAATGATCTCTTCAGTCCAGAACAATTGGAATTCCTTTATAGGAGTCCGTTTTTTATGTGCAACTAAGCATGTTAGTGCAGGTATGTGGTCTGAAATGAAATGATGTATTCTTTTCATTATAAATTGGTGTAAGCTTTTTTCAATTTTGGAGTGCCCGAGAAGCAGGTGAAGCTTAAGGTAATAGTGGTGGTTGTGAAGTGGAAAACCTGGCTAACGGTACATCATCATCAGGCCAAATTCTTAGACAGGAGTTATCTCCACATAAATCTTCGCCGAGAGGAATTTCGCTGGGTTCTTTCTGAACCTCGTTGATAGTCTGATCATCGGTCTCCGAACCATCTTCACCCGCACTGCTAACATTACCATATTAATATGTTCTTATAAAATATATTCAATAATCCTTCCGGAATACGTCCTTCTCGCCATTATCTAAAATAAATGAAATATAATTTTAGCTTGTATTTCCTACAAAAAACTGTACCCTTAATGAACGGTGGTTACCGCCGGTAACCACTTCATTTATCAATGTATTGCGAGAGAACGACCACAGCTTCTTTGTAAATTTTAACGTAGTTTACACGGACAATCATACATCAACTAAATTTTTACAAAGTTTGTACATAATCATTAATAATTACTTACCAATGAAAAAAAACTTCCGCAAATCAGCTTACTCGAAAATTCCCGATCTTCACTGGCAATATTAGTTACCTAAATGGCCGTCGCGCCACGGCTATTAGACACCATAATTATAAGTGGTGTGTTGTTGATTTAGTCGTAGAATACAAAACCAATAGAAGTCACTTTAGCCAAATATGAGCCTTCGAAGTGGTGGTTACCTCTCGTGACCATCGTGAAGAAAAGAGTTAAATGATTTTTTGACTTTGTGAAGACGACTATGAAGAACAACTAGTTTATTTTTATTCCACGTATTAATGTTATGTCTGTCACTATTTTTCATAAAGAAATTACTATTCCTTTTAACATAAATTACACTTGTATAAATGTACTGTGAGGCTAGTGTAAGAATGTTAATTTCTTTAAACTTATCTCTCAAAGATACGTTGGGGCCCAGATTGTAAATTGCCCTAACCGCACGTTTCTGCAGGACAAAGATTCTGTTGATATCGGTGGCATTACCCCAAAGCAAAATGCCGTATGTCATTAGACTGTCAAAGTAGCTGAAGTAAACCAATCTAGCGGGGTCGATCTGAAAGTTTCCGTATTTTTTTAATCGCGTACACTGCAGAGCCGAGCCGTTTTGATAACTTACTTATATGAGGACCCCATTACAATTTAGCATCTAACATTATACCTAGAAATACAACTGTATGCACAAGATTCCATTTTTCTTTTCTAACTACATTGTTTGTAACCGTCTCTCTAACATTGGGTAATGTAAATTTCACACAATTTGTTTTTTTCTCATTAAGGAGTAGGTTATTGACAGCAAACCAATCAACTACTTTAGATATAGCATTGTTCACATCGTCGTAGGAACATTGGTGCTTTTTAACTGTAAATAATAAGGAAGTATCATCAGCAAACAATACTATCTCATGTTTTATCCACGTGAAGTTTTATGTATTGGGTATTTTTTTATACACGAAATAAAATGACAAATTCAACGTAACATATCGTTCTTAGGTTCGCGATTGTTACACATAGGAAATAAAACTATTTTTCCCGGATTTAAATCGCGTATATTTGTTTTTTTAAACAAACCGACGTTTCGGGCCCTTTACAGGTTCCATGGTCACGGTTCAACGTAACATAATAATGCTGAAATTAGAAACAGAATTACGCAATGGTCATTAAAATAAACAGATTGCGAACTTATTTTTTTAATAAAAATAATGTGTGTGGGATGCAGGCAGATTATAATCGTTATAAAAATATGTTGAAAAATGATGTAATTGAAAAATATCAGAGACCATTAAAGACAAAAAACAGGATATCATGGTTCACACAAAAGATAAACAATCCATATCAAAATCCTTTGTCGATTCGTTCTTTCGTCATGTGCCGTGCGGTAGTGCACAGTATTCAAATTTGAAATTAAAAAATAAGTGATAGTTTATGTAGCTAAACCGGTGTTTGTAAAACACGCCGCGTACACATTATGTTAATTTCATTCTTACTAAGAATGTTAACCTACTTTTTATCCCTATTTCTTGAAGTGCCACGTTTGCATAGATTCGAAGGTATAGTCACTCACTCATAATAGCCACCAGCAAAGTGGCGACTCGTTTAGATTACATGACATTATACTCTGATCTTCATAAAAGTGTCTGATGCAAGTTAGATTTCGGGTCCATTTTGTAATTTCAGCCTGTAGACGTGATGAAGTCTATACGATATAGATATAATAGTTTTGAGGCATATGAAGTGTGCTTCTTGGGGATACATACGATTACTAGAGACACACAAAATGATGTACCTAACTAAACTTCTAACCTACTAACTAACGGATATGTAGTATTTAAATACAGAGGTGTTAAATTTGGTGACAATATATTCTTGCCAAATTTTTCACATGAATCATGATCACTGATTAAAAAAATGGTATTAATTGTCCATCATAAAAGTATTATTGACCTCGTTTCGTGAGACGCTTTGTGTCGAGAAACTGTTTCGACTTGTAACTTTATCATTTAACGGTAACAGATTTTTAACAGTTAACTCTTAGTATGTACAATAGAGTGAATAATGTACTAGTAATTTTCTTTTTCCAGCACTATGTGGCGTTTTGACCATTGGATGCACCTTTGCCATTTCGCCTGTCTCTGGCATTCTCTCGAATTTCCTCGGACTTCGCACAACTACAATGGTAGGCGGTATCATCGCCACAATCGGATTAGCGCTGTCATCTTTCTTCGTGGATAACATTGACGTACTCTGTGTCACATACGGTATTATCTACGGCTTAGGAGCCTCACTCGCTTACACTCCATCCCTAGCTATTCTTGGGCATTACTTCAAAAAAAAACTTGGTATAGTTAACGGCGTAGTTACTATAGGTAGCTCTGTTTTTACTGTAAGTTTGCCGCCCCTTATGGAATATATGATAAATAATTATGGTCTTAGTGGTATGTTCAGGGTGTTAGCTGTCTTTGGATTTGGCATTTTCCTGTGTGGTATATTGTTCAAGCCTGTTGCTATAACCAAACCAGTAAACACCAAAAAGGGTGCCTGGCCATTGTTAAGAATTATTATGGGCGTAGAGTTGTGGAAGAAGAGACGATACACGCTGTGGGCTCTAATAATGCCTGTGGCTTTGTTTGGATATTTTGTTCCTTATGTTCACATAAAAAAATATATTGAAGATTTGAATTTCGAAAATGATATTAATATGAATCTCCCATTGCAAGGTTTAGCAGTAACGTCTGCCATAGGGAGGTTAATTTTTGGATATCTGTCAGATAGGCCCCGTGTCAATAAGATTATGATTCAACAAATTATGTTTTACACAATCGGCACGTTGACAATAATGTTGGCTTTTGCTAAAGCATTTTGGGTAATAGTGTTAATAGCTTTGGGTATGGGAGTATGTGAGGGTGGTTTCATTGCTTTGATAGGACCAATAGCTTTTGAGCTGTGCGGCTGCAAGCACGCCGCGGAAGGAATAGGTTGTATGCTGGGTTTGGCGGCCTATCCTCTTTGCTTCGGCCCTCCCTTGGCAGCTCACCTATATAGTACGACATTAACTTACACCCTACCGTTCATTTTATCCGGCATCACACCGATTGTAGGAGCAAGTTTGATGTTTTTAATTTACTTCCAAAAACGTAAACCAAACCAAACCGAAACAAACGGACACGCAATATCTTTAGAACGAGCATAGTGTTAAAATTTTAGATCTTTATAAAGACACCTACGGCGGCGGCGATTATGTTTTTAAATTGTACGAAAAAATATATTTAGTCATCTTTTGAATAATGTGCTTATTTACATAGTGCAGAATAACGGTGGGCACACTTTTAACAACAGTGTTCCATTCGTATTGATTTTGGACCCTGATTTGCATTACTAAAGAAGGTTTTTAGACTGATTTATTTACCTGTGCATTTACATACTAACTCCGTGAAGTCTATCAAAATGATAGATAGCGAAAAATTAACAAGCTTAGAGAAAACCTATGCTCCCTTGCTTCTTAATTAAAAATATGCATTTTGTGCAATTTTATAAAAACTGCCTTGGAAAAGATTGAGAAAACATTTAAAGTGGGAATGATATACGTCAATTAATTAATATTCTTAGATACATGGCGGCTTCAATATGAAGTTGTTTAGATCTTTATCGTGAGTAAAATAAAATTGTGATTGCGAAAATGAATGGTGCGTATTTAGTGTAGATAATGTAGGTATAGGAATTATTGTAGATGGTAGTAAGTAATGCATCGTTGACTCCAAAGTTATTCATACAATTTCCTGACATAGTAGTGTATATTTTGACGGAGAAATATCTCTGAGATGGAATTCGAGATGAAAAATGCAAACAAACTACCATCACTGTCAAAGTGACACTTCATAGATTTTCAAACATTTTTATCAGATTTGCCTATTAACAGATTCTATTTTGATTAGATCAGTAACATATATTATTGCAAAAAATACTCTTGTCGGTTAAATAGCATAATTAATAAAATAGTATTTAGAATCAATAAAATTATTCTTCTTTCTTTCGACATAAATGTCCTAACCGTAACCTAACACAATCAACACTCGTTCCTAGCAACGTTATCGAACTATCTACTACTACTAGTAGGTATGTTTTCCTTTTCACAATCTCGAGCGTGTCATTCCCTTATATATTGCCTCCTGATATTCGTTTTGTCCTGGAGTGATTTATATATTATCAAAAGCTTATTACAGGCATTTATTTTTGTCGTAATAGTAAAACGCTCTCTTACGTCATCTATTTATAAGCCATTAAAAACCATACAAATAAAATGGGCAGCTAAAGGTTATATATCTCCGAAATATTGTCATTAGGATACAGTAAGAGTGCTCTAAAAAAATTACATTTTTACCATTTAAACATATTATCTTCTACATACTTACTTTTTAAGAAAAAAAGGAATTTTTTTACTTCTTTTCAAATTTGCAATATCATTAAAAAAATCTATTGAAATGGTTTTCACCTTTGTTTACCTTTTTGATCTTGAATTCCATGGCAGAGTATAAATTTACATCTGTTTAATATTTTCAAGATGGTTGCTTACTTACCTAATTTTCATTTTATTGTCTCCTTTATGTTTCTCAAAGCCAAATTTCCACTTATAATGTTACAGCCAAAGTACAATAAGTTACCGATTTTAGTTCCTATTTAATGTTAAACATAATGTATGTTTTAGGTATCTAAGTTTAATATTATAAGAAGTCTATTAGTGGAAAGAAAATAAAAACAAAAACGACAATAACGATTGACACCTGAGGCTCCTCCAATATAACATTGGGTTTAAAAATATATGATTTTAGTAATCGAATAAAATTATAACTTACAATAGGTATAGGCAGAAGGTGTACCTAAATACGTATAAAAAATATTTACATTCTGTTTCATGACTTATCGTTTTATCACAAGTATGTACAGGAAATAGAAAGCCAAGAATAAAACAATTAGCAGGTATATTATTTAATTAAATACATAGTGATCGTTTTTTCATTGTTTTCATAAAAATGTAATATATTTAAGGACATGTATAGCAAGAAACGCATTGTGACTAGATATGAGCGCCGATAATAGACCAACCGGCGGCGGCGCGCCGACAGAAAAGTGTTGGCGGCGGCGTTTCGGCGGCGCGAGCACGACCCTAAAACGAATTTGTATAACGGTGCTTGTTTTTACAAATACTTTTTCAAAGGAAAAAATAAAATAACGTATTTTCTATAGTAATCAAATTTATTTTTATTTATTTTTTATTATTATCAGTTCGATCAGGCGCTCCGATCGTATGCACGCGCACGCTTCCGTATTGTGTATGCGTAGTGAAAATGCGACGCCAGAAATTGACAAATTAATTTTCTAAACAAAACATCTTTAAATATAAAGTCATTAACTAACTTTTGTCGCCCATCTAGGTATGCCACCTCTGCTGAGGCCGGACGGCACGCTAGCCTATACTGCAGAACACAAGGCAAATCTTTTTGCAAAGAATTCGCGTCTGGATCTCATCTTACCTCGGGCTGGCTGCACTATGGCGCCAATTTGCATACGCCAACAAGAGGTACTTAGAACTCTGCGGAATCTAGACCGAATGAAGCTAGCGGGCCAGATGGAATTCCAACACTAGTCCTACGTAACTGTGCGCCTCAGCTGTCTCCTGTTCTCACACGCGTACGCACAGGCTCTCTTTTGAGACTGGTGTAGTTCCCTGACTAGACTTGTGGTGTAGTAGTGGAAGTTTGCAAACGTGCAACCTGTGCCGAAAAAAAGAAGCAGAGCCAACTCTGTCAACTATAGACATATCTCAGTCACTTCCATACTCTGCAAGACTATGGAGCGTCTACTCAACCACCGTCTCCTGTTGTACCTTGAAGACAACGACCTCCTCAGTGATCGCCAGTATGGATTCCGACGATGGCGATCAACTGGGGATCTTCTTATGTATGCCTGTCACATGTGGAGCGAGGCTATAGAAAAGCAAGGTGAAGCACTTGCAGTGTCTTTGAATATTTCTAAAGCCTTTGACAGGGTCTGGCACGCAAGCCTTTTCAGTACGCTTCCCTCTTATGGGCTTCCCACTGACCTTTGCAATTGGATCTCGGATTTCTTGAGCTAATGTTCGAGTGGTTTCAGAAGGCTACTCTTCCGAACATATGGCGATAGATTCCTTAAGGTTCCGTACTGTCTGCAACTCTCTTTCTGCTGCATATCAACGATATGTTAATTCCAGGTATCTTTGCGTATGCTGATGACAACACATTGTAGATAGGTACTTGACCAATGCAAGGGAAAGTCATTTTCTGGCGTCGCCATTTTCACATACACAATGCGGAAGCGTGCGCGTGCATATGTTCGGAGCGCCTGATCGAACCGAACGGCACGCCGGCACGGCGCTCATATCTAATTGTGACACTAAATCACTAAATGGAATTTTGCTTGTAACATACATACGATTATTTTTTTTAATCTGAAAGTTAAAGAGTTTCCTTCTAATACCTATCTATTGTAAAATATTGACGACTTAACCTAAAGTGATATTTCAATACCTATCGGTAGTCCATTGGCCCTATAACCGTAATAGGCGCCCCAGCACGAGCTGAATTGTACACCAAATTCATGCGTATACGACAGAGTTTAATATTGTCTTTTTTTCGGTTGCCGATTTAGAAATTTTTATAGTTTTGCATTATTTAGTGTGCATGTTACGATTCGATTTTTATGAAGATCGATTCAAATGTATACGATCTAGCGGTTTTTTGTATCGATTAATTTCAATGCGATTTTTATGTAAATCCATTAAAGAATAAGGCGAATTGAATCGTCTAGATCATATTCATAATTTAAATATCATAGACTCTTTCTGAACCCCTGTTTTATATTGGCCTGCAAGAAAAGCAGTTTGGCAACATCTAAGTACAATTTTGTACAATTAAAATTGTACCCTTACAATATTTGACGATTTTCGCTACTTCTGTGCCATCTGAGAACGTCTTTTCTCACTGGCTATCACTTTAAATAATGAAATAAAAGTCGGTTACGTTACGGTGGGCTGTCTTTTGTTTTTTTTATCGAAATTAATTTTGAAACGATTTTTATGACATCGATTCAAGAGCATACCAATCTATGGATCGATTCAGAGGCATATGTTCCATTATGATCCAAAAAATCGATTTAAAGAAAGTGATCGTGCATCCCTTCTTTGCATTGTAAATTTTACACAACTGCGTGCATTTTGCACTTCACTGCGCCTGTGCCTATTACTTCTTTCGCACTTTGCTGGTAACATTCTTCACGACTTAATAAATAATCATATTCTACATATATAGCTTTATTTTTAAAGTACATATATTTTAATATATTTACCTTAGATATCTAAGTACCTAATTTTTTCTTAAAAATGCTGTGATATGACATCATAATCATTAATATTAAGAAATGTAGGGAACTTATTCATTCATGAGCTCAACGTGTTTGGAGTGGTTACAGGTTACTTACCACGGTATGACATTTCATTTCTCTTACCTACTATAAATCGACGTCTTAGAGTGAAAACCTCGTATGAGATTTCTATGTAATTTTTCAGGACGAAGATAAAAACGTGGTGTAAAATGTAGTAAACGCGATAATGTTTGTAGTTAGCATTATAATTAGTTAAATTATACCTCTTTCAGATATTACATTACTTTAATAATATATTTAAGCAAGAAGTTTATAAGTTTTTTTTCAACAAAAATCAGTAAAAACGAGCTATGTGAAAACGCGTATGCGAGGTTTTCACTGTAAGGGTCGTTTTCCAGAACTCTATTCAATACTCAAGTCTTCGCCATTAGGGTCGTATTTCCAGTGCTTGAAATCATTCTCAAGTCTGCTCAAGTCCTGACTTGAGCATTAAGTAGAGTTCTGGAATACGACCCTAAGACGACGAAATGTCAAAGCAGTTTACCGCTCCATGGCATGACACTAATATTTTAAATTACATTTGAAATAAAGGGAGTAAGAATAAAAAGTCATATGTTTGTAATAATTTTATATCTATAAAAATATAGTAAGTATTTACTTAGTGAATAACCATGAAAGTTTTTAAATCTGTCTATGTTTGGAGTGTTCGTTTAGTTTCATATTTATGTTAATTTTCATTTAAACTGATACGAATTATGTATGTTATTGCTATATATATACATTCTGTTAAGATTTTGTTGCACTATATTTTACTTAGTAATACCTAGCTGGTAATAGTCATATTTTGAGAACCTATTTAATTACGTGATTTAATTACCTGCACACTTTATTGTGAAGTACAATATTTTTACCATATGTACCGTACTATTTCAGAATATCGTATTTTAAGAATTAGTTGCCTTATAGGAAACTTGAATTTTTATTTAAGAGATGCAATAGCTATTTACTCTTATATGATTATATTATGTACAATATACAAACGTATACAAGCGCAAAAAAATGTCGCCTCGCTGTTTTTATTAGCATTTAAAAGAAATTAAAAACCTATGTAAGATCATAATAAATATAAAGACAATACAAAATAGATGCTTGACTTGTTTTTAATTAATATTGTTGTTTTTATTTAATATAAGTAGGTAGCTACCCAACAGAAAAGTCTGGTAGCTTGATGGTTTGACTGTGGGTGGGTGTGCGTGGGTCCGAATCCGGCTCGCACTTAGTGAGTTCCTGTTCCTGAGAGGTAATTTGAAATTTATCATGAGATTTTTGGTAAAGGAAACGTCGCCCTGAAACTGCACATTGAAGAAGGTTCACAACCCTCGGAAAACGTGTGAAGTCATATAGATACATATTCCGGATCAGGAGAAAAGGCCTATCTACCTAATGTTTTGCAGAAATTTATCTCGACAATGCGGGGTATGAGTGTGTACGTTAAAAAAAATTGTTAAAGTTACAGTAAGCTTCAATAATCAGATTTTCTACGATAGAATTCATATTTGACGTTTATTAACTTAAAAACCACAAAGGATTTTACTACGTTATTTAATAGCAGTGCCCGTAATATGCTGTTGACTTACAATCATTCATCAAATAACACAAAAGCCACAACAGTCTATAGTTGTGCTCATCGTTCTATGATAAATAAAGTAGGTATTAAAAGTTTATTCACATTGAAGCGTTGACCTACCAACAATTTTTTTTGTTGGTAGGCCAATGCATTTAAGTAAATATTTTTTAACATTTTTGTTTCTAAAATTAAAAGAGAAAATTAAGTTTTTTTTTTAAAAGAACAATTCCAAAGGTGAATGAAAAAGTTTAAAATATATATTATATTGAACGTAATTATACTACTTAACATCAAAAATATATTGTAACTATTATTTTTGCCGGAAAAACCTACAACGTTTTAAAATTCATTTAACTCCGAATTTTAATTTTGCTGCTTAGGGCAAAATTTATACGAAACGACGTATTTGCAATAAAATTAAGTAAAACTTTGTTAAATATAAGACACTTGAGAATGACGAATTTAAAAATTGAATTTCCTGCACATTCAGTGAGTCATGACTTCTTGCCCATGACAATGGCTGTTTCACACCTTGTGACTTCACAATTTTTTACTCGTAGAATTATAATGAATTAAATTACTTCTTTAATGTTGTAAACCTTAAAGAAGTAATTTCTCCTTAGTTCATTCACTGGATGTTTAGAAAAATCTATTCTCCATAATTTTTATAAAGGTACCTAATGTCAATCCATATTCCAAAACGTGTGTGAGTTCGCGTTAAAACTACAATGGACTTGGTAATACAATAAGGAAATAATAATAACTTGGTAAATAGTTTGGTAACTATTTACCAAGTTATTAAAACATTAGCATCAAGTAAACACAACTTGTTTCTACGGGTTCTGTGCAAAGAAGTAGAGTGCGAATTAAAAATAATGTACCACAGAAACATTCCGTGAACGTTATTTTTTTTCTTTATTTATTCTTTTTTTTTCCGTTATTTCTCTACGTGTTTCGCGATAAGCGTTTAGCCACTTACAAATTATTTTGACTAAGTTATTTTATGGTTTACTATAGTAACGCAAAATTTAAAAGCTAAAATTTTGCCTGTTTCGGATTCGTTCATTACTATATGCAGGTGCGTATAGTTTTTCGTGAAAGACGTTATGTGCATCAGCATCAAGCAACAGACGTTGCTTTGATTTTAATAAAGATATGGTTGGTGAAGGTTCGGAGAACTCGAGGCAAGAAAGTATAACGCGGCGGAGATGGGGCGGTAAAAAAAACTGTGTGGAATCCAGAAGAACAAACTGATGAACTCACAGGTGCCTCCGGATGGCGGATATAGAGCCTATGTCGTTGTCGCTTCTTTCTGCACCAGTGGGCGCATATTTGGCGTAATGAACTCAACAGCGTTATTATACCTTGTACTTTTGAAACGATTGCAGTCTCAAAATGTCGATGAAACTAAAGTCAAAGCTTGTAAGTAGATTAGTGTATATTTTTATTTTATTTTTCGATCTATTACGTGAAGTTTTGATTTAATGTCATTTTATTTTACTTAAATGCTTGGTATAGTTCATGTGTATAAAAGTGCCCATTTCGACATCTCTACCTGCAAAATTAGATTTTTATTTATGTGCTTCGAAGCGCGTTTAAATATTTGTTATGTATAAAGGCAATATAGGTTCCTGTTTATGAGTATCTATACCTACATAACGAGTGCGAAACATTTACAGGCAAAGGAGGGCTCTTGTTTTGTAATAACAGTTTATCTGTAGAGCTCTTCAAATAACTTGCAAATGAACGCAAGGATAAAATACCCAAAAGCGACCTTTTGTAAAATACCATCAATCAATATACAAGTTCATGAGAAAATCTTCGTTATTGTTTTATGTCGCAATTGAAATGTTAAACGTGCCAATCAATATAATACGTCAGTTATTATAATTTTCTATTCAATACTAGTTACAAAATTAGTTAAATTACACAACAAAATGCACAAAACAATGCGCTGATAGATAACACCGTTCATTGTTTACGAAGTTTGGTCGGCACATAAATGCTTTGACCGATTTTTAAAAAATAGATATCTACATCGCGATATCTATGCATGTAAGCATTTAGTAAGAGCCCAATGAGTGAGCTTCAATCTAAAAAAAAGTTAAATAGGGTTGCTCTTCACTATTATACACACACTTAACTACCATGTGGGAGTTGTCGGCATTTACCTACTAATGACAGTAATTGTGTTAATAGGCAATCGACACATTTCCGCAATTTGAGAAGTCTTGCGTTCAAAAATTATAGGTATACTTATTTACTGTCTCTACATTATAATAGCTTTACATTTCCATACTTAACAAATTTTTTATGTTTGTGCATATTGATGAACTTAATATATTGATTATCACCTAGAAAATAACTGGGAAACTTGACAACGTATAGCTAGAAAGGAGAAGACATACGAAAAAGTCGAACTTGTTGCTATTGTCAGCTAGCTTTTTTTACTTGTAGAGTCGATGATGTGTTGTTATGGGGTGTACCAATATTAACAAATCGGTTTGCCGATTTTCCTAAATAATACCCATTCTATGGGAACATTTTGTACGTAATTATGTTAATAACGGTGTGCACTTGCCGGCACTCGAATGGCACTCAAAGTCACTCGCAGGCACTCCCAGGTCCTCAAAGGCACTCGCAGGCACTCGCAAGCACTCGCAAGCACTCGCGGGCACTCACAGGCACGCGCAAGCACTCGCGGGCACTCGCAGGCACTTGCAAGCACTCGCGGGCACTCGCACCTAACTTAAGTAAAGACTTCAAAACATTTCCACTATATCTGGTGGAGTCGCAGCCTTACAATCTGAACAGAATATTACAAGTGTTGCGCAACGAATGCTCGGTTCTCCTCCCTCACCGCTGTAATGTTCGCTTTTGAACTGTTACATTACAAGCGAATGCTCGCAGTGAAGGAGCGCCCTTTTTTATTTATGTAGTACCTAAATGGATACGTAAACGCTGAAGGTACCTAGCTACTTAACTTAGAATATATTTATTTCGATTGACGATCTCCTCGGTGCAGTGGTGCAGCGCTTTTCCTTGTGCGTTCGGGCTGAACCAAGAGATCTCGAGTTCGATTCCCGGTAGATACAATTTGGGAAACCAACGTTTCTAAATCTGGATGTTCTGTGTAGTGCGCCGGAGTTGGTATAGTTGCTGTAACGTGTGATTTATTAATTAAATACATTGCAATTTACAAAAGGATGGGGAAACTTATACATATTATTATTAACACACAAGAACTTCCTTTTATGCAGCTACATTTAATAAATTTTATGCATTGCCTAATGCAAGTTCAGCATTGTATAGAATATCTAGTCCAAATGTATCATAGAGTTTATTTCATATATTGCCGATAACATCTAGATATATATTTGTTTCTTCATACCTACCAATGCTTACGGCCCTTTCCAGTTTCCATGTATTCCCAGTCTGCGGTGACCATGGGAATATACGCGATTTATACCCGAAAAAATGGTTTCGTTCACTCAAAGACACTCGCAGGCACTCAAAGCACTTGGAAGCACTCAAAGATACTCGCAGGCACTCAAAGGCATTCGCGGGCACTCAAAGGCACTCGCGGGCACTTAATGGCACTCGCGGGTACTCAAAGGCACTCGCACGCACTCGGAGGCACTCGCACGCACGCCTTGCTATCTCGCACATCTCTGATGGAATCGCAGCCTAATCGAATCTTGGATGTTATATTACAGGCGAATGATCGTCGGTCAAGGAGGTACTTTGTAATGTAATACTCAAAAACGAATCTTGAATGTTACATTACAGACGAATGCTCGTCGGTGAGGGAGGAAGTTTGTAATGTAATGCCCGAAAACGAATCTTGAATGTTACATTACAGCTGGCAGGCGAATGTTCGCGGTGAAGGAACGCCCGTAGGTATCACATTAAGCTACACATTGACGGATCTTGATCCGTTGCACCGAAGGCGACATTCGAACAGAAATGTATAGTTTGGTGTGCTGTTGACTAACTTTTTACGTAAGTTGACGATTGCATTCTTAACCTATTAATTTTAATGTGTTATTTCAAGTTATATTGTTCACGATCATCGGTTGCAGTAGCAACTACACGTTTCCCCTGTTTAAATATGAGGTTAATATTCGGTTAATATATGCTGGTAGTAAATTTTAATTACCCGTTGTACCTATTTCTTGATAACAGTCTGTGCATGTCGGTGTCAGTATGTTGTAACCATACTGAACTAATCAATTTAAAGTTTACCTGAACGGTTTAGTCACAAGGTTAATATTTGAAGTGACGTATTACCGTGATAATGTGTTTCACAATAATAGTAATTCTGTAAAACTGATTCCCCAGCTGGGACTTTAGAAAATAACAAATGTGATTGATAGTGTCTTATATGTAGCTTAAAGGTAGGTAACATATAGACTACAATTCTTACTTCTAGACCATTTATTTTGTATGGTACTCCCTATTTTTACATAATTTTAATCGAATTAAAATTAGTTTTGTATTTCTTTTTCTTCTTCTCTTTCTTCTGCATAGTTCAATATTTTTAATGCAAAAATAATTATGTATCTATGTAAAATTTTCACGAAGGTTTTATTTTTAATAATTTTACTTGTACGTGAGTAGATAAGTTATTTTTTTCTACCACGTTCCACTTTTTATGCGAATGCTTCTAAACTAAAAGAAGGCTAATGTTTTGTAAATATAATGAAGTAATCTGATGCGCGCAATTACTAATAATTAGCATAAAAGTTGTTAGCCTATATACAAGGTGACAGGTTGAACGAGAGAAATATTTAGAAGCGAATGTAGAGGCGAATGTGCATTCGGTATCGGTGTCAACCCATACCAAATATTTAAAAAACATTATTTACATATTTTTCTCTAAGGAAAATACTGCCTCTAACATTTTGTAATACTCTGCGCAAGATCGGACATGCCGCGAGTGCCCGCTACCCTTACCGGCTTTTGCGCACAAAAATTTAGTACTCTTTAAGTCGGAGGGCTTGACACGCGGGAGTTCAATTTCCTACCGCTCAGCTGTTCTGTTTCATAATAATATAGTAACCCAAATAAAGAATGTGTTAGTATTTGGCACATAATTAAAATGGCACAATTTTTTTTTTCTTATGTTTAGGGGCGATTCTTTTTACATATTCGGATTAGATATTAGCTACTCTTTTGCCTCTTTCAATATTTATCTCGTTCAACCTGTCATTCTGTATACTTCCACTGATGGCCACAGGCCTCACCTCACAGTGGGCTTGGTCTGTTGTTCCCACGTGGGCCCAATGTGGATGGGCAACTTTACACACATCACTAAAATGCTTTACAGATGTGTGCAGGTTTCCTCATGATGTTTTCTTCCACCGAAAAGCTCATGGTAAATTTCGAATTAAATTTCGCATATAAATTCCGAAAAACTCGGAGGTGTTCAAACCTGGATTCGAACCCACGATCCTCTTGAGAGACTATTAATTTACTAAAAGTGGGCGCACAAAAAAAGGATGTATCTTATCCGCCTAGACCAAACAAATGCTTAGTTTACTTTGTAGTCAGTTTTATTTGAGGATTATTGAGTTATGAACAATTAAATAACACACAACACTAAAATACAAAACGTATGTAGATAAATAGGTATTTTTAAAGTTTTTCCTGACCTGCTCAAGTCTATTTCCGCGTTAGTAATTGTGGTGAGTTCACTGTCGTTAGCAATCATGTCGCATGGCAAGTTGTACAGCGCCATTAGCGGTCACGATATCCATGGTCACAATCACAAGAGGTCACAACTTTCGTACACGACTATTTTACAAGATCGCTACAAGTGATATAGAGGTAGTAGTACACAGACAAGTTATTTGCGATATGAGTATGGTACTAGGGTGGTAGCGGTTATGTAGTGTCTATTAAAAACTCATAGTTCATACATATTTATAATACTCGCATAACAAGTGTGGTAGTAACAGGCTTGTATGTGTGCAAGGTCTCTGCGCCTTGTACAGACGCACACATTCACATAAACTTACGGTGCACTCACGTTGCATAGTGCGGATCGTCACACGCGTCATTCATTATAGAATTGAAGTGTTCGCTCGGTGTTTAAAAAATGACATGAAATAGTAGACGTGTTTATTGTTGTGTTTGTAGTGGTTTAAACGACAGTGACTCAAATCCAAAATTGTTCAGCATTTTATTTCTATTTCATAACCATACTCCCATAATCGAGACACCAATCCGTGAATGCTGGTATAAAAATATCAATACGTTAGAGCTGCATTTAAAAAGTAATTTCAATATATCACAAGAATACTATGATTAAACACTTTTTTTTAATTATGTTTATAACCTGTAGGCACCTCTAAAATAATAATATAACAACTCTACGCTCCGAGGGAAGTGTAGGCATTTGACGCACCGAATAGGCGGGAGTTGCCCTTCTTGTCTTACTAACAAACTATTATATGTCATATGACGTTGTCATATAGTGTATTTTGTTAATATCGCAGGCAACTTGATTCTTCAGTATTCTTCTTTATTCAAATATCATGAAAGTCAATAAATTTCCGTTTGGTGCGGTCGATACGAAATATTTACGCATTCGGAGGCATTCCGCTTTCGAGAAAAATTTGTTAACTCGCACATAAAAATGGCTTTAATAGAGTTGTCTGCTTTGTCTCCATGAGGCTTTTATTGACTACGAGGTGTAGTCTTTCGAAAGAGATTCAGAATCCATCTCCAAGCGGCCATGATTTTTAAGTGTCCTATACGCTTAGGAGGTGTCCTCTCTTCGGATCCGTTCTGACCACCACTTCCGAAGGAGTACACTCGCATTTCCACTTCTTCGTATGTCGGAGTATTGGTCTTTTGAGTGGCCCATCGAAGAGGTTTTGTCAATCTGTTGAATAATTATTTATTAGGTATTTAATCAGTACGGAACGTACGTAACGTAACGTAACGTTGTTTGTGTCGCGATAGTTTTCTTACGAACATTATAGTAGGCAATATCGAAGAAAAGAGAGACATAGGAAGACCTAGACGAAGTTATTTAGATCAGATAAAGGAAAAAGTTATGGTCGTATCGTATTAGGAATGTGAACATAGATGGTTTATCGATTATCTCACCGAAAGAGAAATAAGAAGAGAAAGAATCAATGGATCTGATATTGGCGTGATTGCCTGGAACATTTATTTCATTAAAATGGTCCCCTTTATTAGTTAACAGGTGATATACTTTTGAGGTTAGTTATTAAACAATCATTACTATACTCTAGCTGAATTCGACAAAGAATGTTTAGTAACAAAACATTTTATGATATTTTATGATATTAAGTGACGGGACGAACAAGTCTTGTGCCCGATGGCAAGCTGCACGCCTGTCCATAACAGTTGCAGTGCCACTCAGAGCTTTAAATCGCAAAGATCTGAGGCGCACTACCACTGCTCCCGTCACCCCGAGACCTAAGTTGACAAGTCCCTTGTGCCTGTAATTTCACCAGCACCCTTAACTTTCAAAACTGGAACACAGTAATGCTGACATTACGGCTTGGCGGCAGAAATAGGTAAGATGGCAGTACTTCCCTGGACGAACTCTTGCTAGGCAACCAATGATGGCATAGGAAAAGAACATTTTTTGTCAATGCTAATTATTTAGGCTAGCTCTATCCATGGTCTGCTGGCGGAATGGGTTTGTAAATAGGTAAGTAGGATATTGAGTTACATAACCCAGGTAATTTTACTTCTACATAGAAGTAAAATTACCTGGCCAATTATTATAAAGTTTGCAAAGTACCTATTAATACGTATGATTCATGAATAAAATAATAGGTTTTTACTATGTTACGAACATTTATTATTTTATCTACACACATATCATAAACCCTCTATGATGTGTTCAAAAACCGCAAATTACAACCAGCATAAAAATAAACTGTTTTGTTAGAACAAATATCTGTGTGTGTGTGTTGATTTGACTTCAAATTCTAATATCAGTCCAGATGAGGTTTTATTGAAAATGAAATGTCAATAGCAAAACAATTTTGACAAATTTCACACGTTACTTGATATCGAACGATAATAATATTTCTTTATTGCACAAATAAATGACATTGAAAATTACAAGTTACAAAGGACATATACAAAGATGAGCTTATCTCTAGAAGAGATCTCTTCCAGCCAACCCTAGCAGTGGTGATTAAACTAAGTCTGCGGGACATTATTGTGCAATACATTTGTTAAAATTCAAATGGAAATATAATTATTAATGACAACAATATAAATATGGCTAAAACTTTACATACCTACATAAATACGTACGTACACAATATATAGGGCGCACTATAAGTTTACGGAACTGGCCACTTACATAAACAATATTTTAAAAAGTAATTACAACATATGAAAATGGAACTATTTGGCTGTAGAATACAGTTTGTTTCATCCATCGAGTATTTAACCAGAAATAGAGACGAAATGTCATTTAATTTGTTTGAAAACTATTCTCCCATATCATTACCGTGACACTTGCGCTCCGATTGGCTAGCCCGAGTTCGAAACAATTCAAAACAAAGTCACTGGGTGTCAACGGTTTCACTTCAAATCAACCAGTTAACTTGAGCTTTGCTATAATGGCCGAACTTGCAATACATATATAATATTTAATTACCGATGAAATGTGATTCCGTTTGTTTTGTAATTAGATGTTTTGCTATTTTTCCCACACCACCGAATTGAACAGCACGACATTGTTAGAAATATTATCTTTATTACAATAAATACAGAATATTTTTTGGAATATACGGAGACGTACACACAGGTCAGTAGTTGGCCTGTCTATATTTCAGTGCAAACGAGAGTTGATACTTATAAGAGCTGTATCGCTAATGTGTTACCAGGAATATATGACCCTTATTTCGACTCTATTTCTGGTTATATACTCGATTGTTTCATCTGACTGTCACTTATTTTTACGTTGTGGCGTCATTTTAGAAATTGGTTGTCTGCATCACCATGGATTTAACTCGTGAAAAGTTTCGTAGTATGATTTTCTACGGCTTTAAGTGTAATTTAACAGCTCGGCGGAGCTTCGCTCGGCTTTAAACTGCTTTTGGCGATGAAGCACCACGCAAGACGACTATTTATAGCTGATTGGCAGAATTCGAACGCGGTCGTGTGAATCTCAGTGACGAATTTCGTGACGGCCTCTCGTCCACTGCTGTGAACAACAAAAACATCGATGCTGTGCGCCGTGTGATTAAAACAGACAGGCATGTGACATACCATGAGATTCGGGCATCTTTACGCATAGGCATGAGTCAAACACATCAATACTACACAAACATTTGGATGTTGGAGAGCTGTGCTCTCGGTGGATCCCACACAATTTGACTGAGGCTCAAAAAATGGATCGCGTAACTTGGTACAATGCCATGCTTACCAGATTCAACGAAGTGGCGTCAAATTTGGTGTGGGACATAGTAACAGGTGACGAATCATGGATTCATAGTAACAATCCCAAAACAGAACAGCAATCGAGCGTATGGGTCTTTCGAGATGAACCGAAACCAACCAAAGTGGCGCGCGTGCAAAGTACCACTAAGTGGATGATTGCTTTTGATAAATTTTTGAAGGTGAACAACGTTGACCTTATGAGCCATTCCGCGTACAGTCCCGACCTGACACCTCGTGACATTTATTTATTCCCAAAAAATAAGAACCAGTTACCCGGTCAACGATTTTCATCACCTGAAGAGCCTGTCGAAGTTCATGAAAAATAAGATTCAGAGATTGTCACGGAGGTGTGGCATTAATGTTTTCAAAATTGATTCATTCGTATGAAAAAGTGCATTAACGCTAACGGGCAATATTTTGAGAAACAATAAATTCATTTGTGACCATTTATATTATTGTTTTCTTATTCATTCCGGAAACTTATAGTGCGCCTCACGTATATATTATTATCAAAATAAATTATTGGTTTATAAGTATTATGTTACTGATTAACTTCCGAGTTTAAGTTTCTCTTAACGCAAATAAAAAAATTTGCGTTTGAATGATGCAACCGATGGACTGCCACGAATGCTAGCGGGTAATTTATTCCACATACCTACGAGCTGCACTAACTGTAAAGAAATAGTGGAAAAAATTGGAATTGGATTGGGGATATAAAACTGTTCTAGTGTCATAGGTTCGTATTGGGCGAGAAGTGGCGGGTAAGTGAGTAAAACGGGAGCGTAGATAGTGAGGAAGCTGAGGGTAGTGTAGGATTTTATATAGAAGCCAAAGTATGTGCAAATCTCTTCGAAGTCGGTTAGGAAGCCATATTAATTTAGATCGAAATTCAGAAATATGATCATATTTACGCAGACCAAATATAAAACGTATTGTCAGATTCTTTAGGCACTCCAGTTTGTTAAGCAGCTCCTCAGTTGCACCCAAATAACAAACATCAGCATAGTCAAGAAGAGGAAGTAGTAAGGACTGAGCAAGCATGACCTTGTTTTTGAACAGCAAGAAATATTGAAGCCGCTTAAGACAATTATAAGCAAAGTGTATACGCCGACTTCTTTACCTGTGGTCTCCAGGACAATGTGTGGTCAATTATTAGGCCACGATTCTTTGTTTTATCTGTATATCCAAGGTTCACTCCATCATACGAAACCTTGGGGTGATTATTAAAGTCCAACCAGCAATACAGATATATACGGACTTATTAGATCATAACAAGAGACAAATGAGAAAAGTTTTTTTTAACAGTGCTTTCAAGGACCTTGGACAGGAATGGTAAGATGGAGATAGGACGATATTGGGAAAATGCCGTAGGGGTAGCAGATTTAGGAATGGGAATGACGTGGGCTAACTTCCAGCCGCTAAGAAAGACGTTAGATGCAAGAGAACAATCCAAAATGTGTGAGATAATGAGTGCAACGTCATCCAGGACAGGTATCAGCATATAACGGCAAATACCTTCTTTACCTAGGACTTTGGAAGTTAGGATGTTCTTTTTAACTTCTCCCTCAGTGACTTCACGAAAAGAAAAAGGTACACAATCAGGACGGATAACAGTGCCCAGTGAGGCGAGTGTGGCTACTTTCACAGAGTTGGTAACTATAAGTGGTGGGTTGGTAAAGTGTTTATTGAGTAAATTGAGGTCAGGATTGCCATCGGTAAATTTATAATCTTTACCCACACCAATTGTTCTCAAGGATTTCCAGGTTTGACCCGTAGACAAGCCTTCAATGGTGGAATGGATGTAACGCCGTTTGGCATCCCGACATAGTCTGTTGCAAAGATTGCGCAGCCTTTTATAGGAGCGCAGATTCTCATCGCATGAAGACCTCTTTAGGATCGACTTGACCTCATTCCGTCGTTGTATGTATTTCTTTATGGCCGGTGTAAGCCAAGGCGCAGGCAGATGCTTAACGCGCACTGTTCTGAGAGGAGCATGAGAGTTATACAGCTTTAATAACAAATTGTTAAAAATTTTAACTTTCTCATTTACTGTGCTGGCTTCAAGCAATGTGGACCAGCCAATGTTAGAGAAGTCTTCTTTCAAGCGATGCACACAGATGCTACCAAAGCTACGCTGCAATATTACTTTAGTTTTGGGTTTGGGGGTGTGTACTTGGTAAGACATATAAATAAGGTCAGGGTACGAAAATGGAGCAATGGTTTGCCCATGCAAAAGGACAGACTCAGGTTTCGAGACTATCTGAACGTCTAAAAGAGGTGGTTGACATTAAGAGAATGATGGGTTAGAGCTGTAAGTGGGAGCAAAACAAAGTTAACTGAAATTACGAGAGAGTTAAGACGTACAGACCGTAAGTTATCCTTTAGTAAACAAGTATTAAGATCACCCATCAGTATTACGTGATCGTAAGAGGCACTCAATGATTTAAG